TCGCTTTGCGGCGGGGGTCTGGTCCCTAACCTGCCGTATAAGCGGTGCCCTACTGTAGTAAATGGGGCTTCTATTTATGGTTTCAGTGCTAGGACCCGGTATGATTTGTGTCTAATGATTCAGAGTAGCAGGGTGTGACGTTGACCACTATCTGATGGTAGCGAGAGTTATGGAGAGAGTGTCAGTAAGCTGACAAACGCTGGAGAGATATGATTTGGAAGGTTTCAACTGCAGGAAGTTAATCAATGTGAAAGTTAAAGGACAGTATCAGATTAAAGTTTCAAACAAGTTGCAGCTTTTGAAAACTTAGATGATTGTGTGGACATCAGTAGGGCTTAGGAAAGTTTTAGAGAGAATATCAAACTTTTGGTCACTGAAATTCTAAGTTATTAAACTAACTATAGTTTGATTATGAATGCTTAAAATTAGTAGATCAGAGGAAGGAGGCTAAGTTACGGTGGTCTGAGAATGCAGGTCACATGAATTGAGGTAATCTGAGCAATTAAAGACGTGAAACTAGTAGAATTTTCAGGGACAAAACTGAGGAATATCTGAAATGCCATCAGTACGTGACCCTATTTCTTTTGAGGCTGATATTGCTGTTGAAAAGCTGAAAAGATATAAATTGCCACTTACTTATCAATTTGGGCCAGAATTGATCCGGGTTGGGGGCAACACTTTGCATTCAGTGATCCACAGAGCTATTTATTATTTCTGGTTGAAATTGTGAATACTTTCTACAACAGTGTAAGTAATCTATTGTTCTTCTTTATAAAAACAGTAATAAAACCTACTTCAGTAATTGCTGAGATATGTCAGGTTTAATATCTTACGTAGCCTAAACTACTGGGGATAATTAGAGTGGATTTCAGTGCAGTACATTAAAATCTTACTTATGGTATAGTTATGTGATTATGAGTGGTTCACATTCTGAATACGCTGTGTCTTAACAGTCTGCAGTTGTCCAGGTCACCTTCCTGCAGCACATGCTGAAGAACATATGAAGTGTGTTTACAGATGCAGGAAATGTCATTGCCATCTACCCATTGCATCTGTTGTGGAGGAAATAGCACTATCAAGAATTAGATTTGCTCACTATTGAGTATACACTTCAAGATTTAAGTTTTAATTGTTTGATGTGCTGGCAGTCACATGTAAATAGGAGTCATTGTTCTCCACGAAGGTAGTAGGAACCTAATCCATGATTTCTATTTACTTTCATATTTTCTGTGTAATTCTTCAGGTGCAAATAGTGGTTATATATTTCCCTTATTTTTTAGTGTGTTTTTTTAATATTGAAAAACAGTATTTGTAACATTTTTTTAGATTACATATGATTGTGAAATTATGTTGTGATTACAGGGACTTGATAAAATGCACAACCTGTGATGCGCTTTTTTACAATAAACGAGCATATGTTAACCACAATATGTACCATAAACCTGATGACTTGTATGTTACAAGTGAAGAACAGAGGTGAGCTTATTTGGAATTGTTCTGATGAAAATACTAACTCCATAGCAGGTGAGAAGATACTTTAGCCATTCAGGAAAACTTGGCCTGAGTTTGCATGTGCCATAGAATGAATTACTTGAGTTTCTTTTAAATTCTTTGCCTTATTTGTTATGTTAGTGAACGAGTTTCCAGGGTTATGTTTTCCTTTCTTGTTATGGCAAATTTACTTGGTGTTACAACCCAGAAAAACAACATCTTTAGTGTCATGACAACCTCAGTTCTCATATTTTAATAAACAAGTTTGATCATTTGCGTTCTTACTGTGTTGCATATATTGATTTCCTTTTGCATTCTTTTGACCCTCCTTTTGATTTCAGGATTATTTTTATCCTGATGTTGAAAGAAAATATACTAGTGAGTTAGCAGGAATATTGACATTTTTATATTTTTCATATAACTTTTACCAGAAAACATACCACTGAAATTTAAGTTTTCTCTCTCTCATTTGCTTCTCGATTAACACTTTCTTTTTTTGTGTTAATGCTTTGTAAGTTAAATCTTTGCAGTGTCATTTAAGTTCACTGTATCAGACCAGTTAATTTAAATATCCTGTATATATTATTTTAATAAATCAAGCTGGAAGGGAAAATTAAACAGTATGTGTTCAGCTGTATGTTCAGAAAGAGATGCAGCACATGGAAGAAACTTATTAAAGAAAGTACTATCGTCAAGATCTGCACTGGTGGCACCTCCGGGTAGCTCATGCTTGGAACCTTCCATGCTGCCGTTCTTTCCTCTTTCACCAGACTCCTGCTTTTTGGCAGTGTAGAGTTCTCTGATGGAGCTCTTGAGGATTGTTTGCCACCTAACCCAATATAACATGAAAATTCTGAGAATTAACCACTCCAAATGGAACCACTCCTCATATGACCAGAACCATTCATCCAATTCCTCAGTACAGTAGATTCAGTTTCCATGAATGCTCACAAGTCTCTTGTTTACAAACAATTTCAGTCTTCCATTTTATATGCATCTTTGATACTTGCAGGCATTTGATCATACATGCACTTGATTGAAATTCACCATCAAGTTCATTTCTTATGGTTCATGATTCTGAGCTCTTACATAATATTCCAAAATTACTTTTCTTTGCCAAAGACTGTACAGCATCATTGTTGTACTTAATGAATAAACAAAACAAACAAAAGGAATAGCTTTTATCAGTGGGTTATGTTTTCTTTTGAAGACAATATACTATGATGGACACTGCAGAGGTTTAAAGCTGTTGAATCAGAACATGTTTCTGAGAATTTATAAATTTAAATTGCATTTTCTGGTAGATTACAAACTGTAAGTCGTGTAGACCAAGATTTTGATATCCGGCGAGTTCAGACAGCTGCAGAAAAGTTCATCCCTGTGTTCCGACCCCGTGGACGACCTTCTCCACAGCAACCCCAAAAGAAGGTAAGCTGTGCAGTATCCTGTACATAGCATTACATATCCCAACTTTACCGTGAGTACCAAAAGCTTGATGATAAAGTCAGTTTTAGTACCTGCTATTTTACATCTAATATAGCATTATAGTTAGAATTGACTTGTCAGAGGAACACCTTTTAAGAAAGCATCATTAACATAATCAATTTAAAACATGTAAATGTTTAAATCTATCCTCAGAGATGTTAAAACTAACATAAAATAGGGTATCTTTTGTGTATACTGCATCATAATATAAAATTTGTTCTTTATGTCAGATTAATTATATTTGTGTCTCATTAACTAGTTACAATTTAAAATTATTCCATATTTTTGTATCCTTATGATGTAGGTTAATAAATATTTTCTGGAAGAGCATGAAGATATGACTGCCTGTAAGAGTGTGTATTAAATTGCATATATTTCTTAAAGTTTCTGCATTGTTTGGTACAGAGAAAGAAGGCTCGGTCAGCAGTGGCAGCACTAAATGTGAAGAAGGAAGAAGATTCCACTGATGAATTGTCTCCTGCTGATTCTGCCCCCTCAAGTGATTCTAGTGACTCAGACAGTGATCTTCCATTATTGGAGCGACTTGATAGCAGTAAGCGGCAGCAGCTAGGTGGACTGTGATGACATGTAGGGATGATTTGCTATCAGTGCCCTCTGTGCTAGTCTCATCGCTTGTTGTTCAGTATGGAAACTATACATTATATCTGAAGACGATAAGGAGAAAGCAGGCCACAGTAACAATACATCACAGCTTAGAAACAGTGTTGGACATACAGTGCATCATTGGATTCCAGTAGTATAGTTATTTCTTTGAAAATCTGCTCTATGTAGGAGACATGTTTTAAATATTTCATAGCCAGTTGGTGCAACATTGGAAGTACTAAACCTGTTGATACTTGGGTATGTGATATGTTTGTTGCAAGCAGTGTTTTAGCCATTAAATCTCATGTTTATGTATTTTTGTGTGTTATGTAAATTGTGATCTTAGCGAGTATAATTTCTGCTCTCCAGTTATTTATGTGCAACAATACTGGTATAAGTATGTGAGTAAAGAGCATTGTCAATATTTTGATGTTATTTTATGTGCAGTTTCTCTTTTGTATTAATTTCAGTATGTTACTGATGTGGGGAGAGAACTGAATTGGGCAAAGTACAAATTCTATCATCATATTGATGGTGGAAGTGCAGATTGGGCTTTGCCACAGTAATCAAGTACTTTAAATAACAAAGTATGAACTTAAAATTATTTGTGTCTGAAAAGTAATAAGTGTAATGGTATGTTTGTGAAAACCTATTCAAATAAATTCTGATTATCTTTGAATATTTTGTAATGTGTATTTTGGTATTTTGTTCCATTAGTTTATGTCTTTGTACTTTTATGCTAGAACATTTGTTTTGAAAGTTTGTTGAATTGATTTTCATCATTCTTCCACAGACTATAGGTAAAAATATGATTTGCTTTATTGCACAAATGGAAGGTTATTCTTTAATTTTGCTTAATGGAATGAGACTTATAGCAGAATCTTTAATGTATAATTTCTTCTTATTAGTGAAAGACATGCATGAGTATGTAGATGACTGTCGAGTCTTTCAGACTACATGGTTCAACAACCCAGAAGACAGGCATCTTCACAGTTCGTCTCCATAAGGAAGCTGGATTGGTTAATTCACTTTAGGAAAGTAATGTATTCCCTGTCTGTTCTAGGAAATGTATAAAATCCATTAATACACTCTCTGGGTAAAAGCAGAGGGATCAAAAGTCTGTGATTGTGAAATGCTGAATCTGTTTTGAGAGTACTTTCTGTGCAGTGAAAATTTTTATCAGGGTATATATTGCCATCAAATGCAGGTAAATTTCTCTTTGAT